CCATCCGCTGTGAGGAGGGGTCTCTGGGGGATTCCCAGTTTGGGACTGGGCGAACTGGGAACGGAACTGGGAACGGAACTGGGAACGTTGGGGTCTCCCCCGGGGTGGGGGAGGGGAAGCAGACTTGACCTGGAGTGACCCCGCGCAGGCCCCGCCCCCAATTAGCCCCGCCCCCCTCGTTAATTACAGCGCGAGGAGAGACGAGCGTGGGTGGTCCAAGGGCTCCCAGTAAACCCCAGTGCTCCCAGTTCCCATTCCCAGTGCTCCCAGTAACCCCCCGTAACCCCCCAGTGCTCCCAGTTCCCATTCCCAGTGCTCCCAGTAACCGCGCAGTAACCACCCAGTGCTCCCAGTAACCCCCCAGTGCTCCCAGTTCCCGTTCCCAGTGCTCCCAGTAACCGCGCAGTAACCCCCCAGTGCTCCCAGTAACCCCTCAGCAGCTTCCCAGTAAACCCCAGTGCTCCCAGTAAACCCCCAGTGCTCCCAGTTCCTGTTCCCAGTGCTCCCAGTAACCTCCCTGTAACCACCCAGTGCTCCCAGTAACCCCCCAGTGCTCCCAGTTCACATTCCCAGTAACCCCCCAGGCATTCCCAGTGCTCCCAGTAAGCCCCCAGCAGCTTCCCAGTAACCCCCAGTGCTCCCAGTTCCCATTCCCAGTGCTCCCAATAAGCCCCAGGCATTCCCAGTGCTCCCAGTAAGACTCCAGTGCTCTCAGTTCCCGTTCCCAGTGCTCCCAGTTCCCATTCACAGTGCCCCCAGTAACCCCCCAGTAACCCCCCAGTGCTCCCAGTTCCCATTCCCAGTGCTCCCAGTTCCCGTTCCCAGTGCTCCCAGTTCCCGTTCCCAGTGCTCCCAGTCTCCTCTGCTCCCCGCCCCGCGTGGCCCCTTTAAGACCCCCCCCACCCCCGTCCCCAATTCTCTCAATGGGGACGGTGGGAACCGCCGGGGAGGCCACGCCCCCTCATTAGCATAGGGGCGGGCTCGGCGCTTTAAACCCCCTTATATGGCAGAAGGGGGCGGGGCGAAGTGCTGGGGGCGTGGCCTGGCGCAGTCTAAGGGGTGTTTAAACCTTGATTAGCATAAGGGGCGTGGCCTGAGGGCCGTTTGTGATGCCTATTAGCATAAGGGGCGGGGTTTATGGAGATCTATTAGCATAAGGGGCATGGAGAGTCGGGGAAAGATTGATTAATTAGCATAAAGGGCGTGGCTTTGGGATTTAGCAACTGCTATTAGCATAAGGGGAGGGGGCAGGCAGCTTCAACGTGGAGAATTAGCATAAGGGGTGGGATATTGGGTATTATAATGCCTTATTAGCATAAAGGGTGGGGAAAATGGGATTTTTAAATGTTATTAGCATAAAAGGCGGGGTGTATGTGCTTTATTAGCATAAAGGGCGGGGCATAACGAATTAAAGCCTGGCATTATTAGCATGATGGGAGGGGCATTCTGGGAGTTTATAATTCCTTATTAGCATAAGGGGCGGGGCGTTCCAGCTTTATGAACCTCATTACTATAACAGGCGTGGCACACGGAGGGGTTTCACCCTCCTAATTAGCATAAGGGGCGTGTCCCGGGGCTCTTTAGAGGAGCAGCAGCGCTTTAGGGGGCGTGGCCAAGGGGCTTTGCCGGGAGGGGGGCGTGGCCAAGGCGCTTTGCCGGGAGGGGGGGCG